TTAAAAATGTTTGGTACTGGCACAAAAGTAGACACATAGATCAATGGAACAGAATAGAGGATCCAGAAATAAACCCATGCTTATATGGTCAATTAATCTATGACAAAGGAGGCAAGAACATGCAATGGGAAAAAGACAGTCTCTTCAACAAATGTGGGGAAAACTGGACAGGTACAAGCAGAATGAAACTGGACCACTTTCTAACACCACACACAAAAATAAACTCAAAAGATTAAAGACCTAAACGTGAGACCTGAAAGCATAAAATTCCTTGAAGAGAACACTTGGGCAATAATCTCTTTGATATCAGCCATAGAAACATTTTTCTAAATATGTCTTCTCTGGCAAGGGAAACAAAAGCAAAATTAAACTATTGGGACTACACCAAAATAAAAATCTTCTGCATAGCAAAGGAAACCATCAACAATGTAAAAAGACAACCTACAGAATGGGAGAAGATACTTGCAAATGATGTATTCAATAAGGGGTTAATATCCAAAATATATAAAGAACTGATACAACTCAAAACCAAAAAACCAAATAATCCAATTAAAAAACGAGAAAACATAAATGGACTTTTTTCCAAACAAGACATCCAGATGGCCAACAGATATGTGAAAAGATGCTCAACATCACTCATCATCAGGGAAATGCAAATCAAAACCACAATGAGGCATCACCTCTCCCCTGTCAGAATGGCTAGACTCAAAAACACAAGAAGCAGTGTTGCCAAGGACATGGAGAAAAAGGAAACTTTGTGCACGGTTGGTGGGAATGCAAACTGGTACAATTACTGCGGAAAACAGTATGGAGATTTCTCAAAAAAATTAAAAATGGGACTACCATATGACCCAGTAATTCCACTACTGGGTATTTACCCAGAGAAAACAAAAACACTAATTCACAAAGACACGTGCCCCTATGTTTACTGCAGCATTATTCACAGTAGCCAAGATATGGAAACAGCCCAAGTGTTCACCAACAAATGAATGGATAAAGAAGAGGTAAGATGATAGATAGATAGATAGATAGATAGATAGATAGATAGATAGATAATGGAATATGATGCACCCATAAAAAAGAATGGAATCTTGCCATTTGCAACAACACAGATGGGTCTAGTGGGTATAATGCCAAGTGAAATAAGTCAGAGAAGGAAAAATACCATATGCTTTTACTCGTATGTGGAATTTAAGAAACAAAACAAATGAACAAAGAAAAAAAGAGACAAAAAACCAGACTCTTAGCTATAGAGAACAAACTGATGGTCTGGGGGCGGGCATGAGTGGAACAGGTGAAGGGAATTAAGAATACACTTATCATGATGAGCACTGACTTATGTATAGAATTGTTGAATCATTACATTATATACCTGAAACTAATATGCCACTATGTTTTTTATACTTGAATAATAATACTAATAAATGATGACATGACTACATTGGAAAGAGGGGGAGAAGTGTGTGTGCATGTGTGGGTGTGTAGTGAGCCACATGAACAAGAGCTAGGTCTTCATCCGCTGTGGTGGGACACTAACAGGTAACACATTCCCAAACCTGGAAGATCGGGAAGAATCAGTATACCCATGCTATTTCAAGAAAGATAAATACATACTGAAAGGAAGAGATACAATATTTGGAAGTAGCAGTTGGGTCTGGGAGGTTTGAATGTGGGGATGGCACGTGAAGGAAGCTAACTGCTATTTTTTTGTATTAAGTCTTGTAGAACTACCTGATTTTTTAAAATACGTGCAGTATGACTTTAATGAACTGAAATTAAGTTTAAAAATTATATGTGCATTTTAGTCTAACTTCCCAAGCTTCAATTTATTTGTTCTTTAGTTCGTTCGTTCATTCATTCATTCTACAGACATTTGCTGTGAGCCTTCTTCTAAAAGTCAGGTGCCATGCCAATGAAGGTAAAATCTTAGTTCCTGCCTCTAAAGGACTTTTCTATTTAATAAGAAAAACTTCAAGGAGGTTAAAGATTTATGTACCTTTTTACTTCGATTTTGTATAGTAGGTGGGTTTCTGAAGAACTCTAAATTGTGCATTTGAAAATCAGTGGAAGGCTTGGGACAATGTGGATGGAGCTTCTGATATAAAGGGCCTTATGATAAATCTGTCGGAAAAAAAATCCCCATAATATATCAGTGTGTAAGCTCATATTTTCATATATTGGCCACTCTGGTGAGAAATAGAGGTGGTGGCAGAAAAGGTAGTTTGAGAACAAATTTATGGGCAACACATAGCTATTTGGGAAGAGGGGGATTAATTTATGACCAATATTACTAATGACAACAAGTTAGAATTCATTTATATACCATATACTGTGATGCGATCCTTAATTACATTATTATGTGCATTCTTAATGATGTCATTTACTGATTAAAAACTAACCATATCCGATGAATGGGTTAATAAAATATTCATCTATACGTCATCAGGATTCTGCACTAATTAATTTCACAGGTTTTTACACTTTCTCCATTTATAACAGATAGAACTTCCTCCTTTCAGCTCCATCTATGAGGACCTTGAGGACACACTTTTCTACATATTTAATATATGAACAGCTGTTTTACCTGCTAAGATTTTATTTTTGCCCAAAGGACATTTTATTGCACCAAATTACAGCATCAGGAAATACTCTTAAAAGATAGCCATAGTTTGGAAAAACCATCTGTTTTAGTTGGAAGAGTAGAAACATAAACTGTATCATGCAAATTTGTTAAGAGAACGCTTTCTTCCAAATGTTACCTTTTGTGCGATGACTATTTATAATGTCCTAGATCAATCTATAAATGTTGTGTTCGAAGTCCTTGTTGCTACCCCAATACTCTGCCATTATGTGGGAAAGAGAAGAGGCTCATAATTTAGACCCTGTTTTAGGCACGCCTTCCAAATTGGGTCCAAAAATGATATTCAACAAAATGCATCCCACGGTAATGAAAATGTATCTCCCACAGGGTGGCCAGGTAGGTCTGCTAAAATGCAGCTTTAATGCGATCGCTAGCCTGCTCAGAAGTTCGCAGTGGCTCCCCACTGCCCGGGACCGAAGAGTAAGCCCGGCCTGGGAACTGCTGTGATGGGGTCAGGCCAGACCTTCCAGTGCAGGGTCTGCCCACGCCTCAGCCTGCTCACCTGTGACATGGACCCCTTCATTCTCTGGATACACCCCCCACTCTGTTCCATCTCAGACTTCGTGCTGTTCCTTCCCATTGCTCCCTATTACAGACAGAATTTTGTCCCCCCAATTTCCTATATTGGAGCCCTAACCCTTGATGCACCTGCATTTGGAGAGAAAGAGGGAATCAAGGTTAAATGAGGTCACAGGGTAGGGCCCTCATGTGATAGGATTTTCTCCATTTATAAGAGAGGGAAGACACCAGAGCTTTCATCTCCTCCATATAAGCATGCGATGGAAAGGTGGCTATCTGCAGGACAGGAGAGAGTCTCCCCAGAAATCAGACTTGCCAGCACCTCGATCTTCGCCTTCCAGCCTCCAGAACTGAGAGAAAGTAAATCTCTGTTGTCTAAGCCCCCCAGCCTGTCGTATCGTGTTATGGCAGCCCAAACAGATGGATACACTCCGCATTTTCCCGGTCACCGCCTCTCAAGGGTCATCTTGGATGCCTCCCTCTCTGGGGACCCTCTCCTCCCTTCCTGCCAGATGCCCCCTCCCTCCTCTGAGCCCCTCGGCACCCAGTGCCAGCTAGAGGAACTCCAGTGTGAGACCTTGCCTCAGCACCCAGTGAGCTCTCCACACCCTGAGAACCCAGACTGGATCCCTCCTGATGCTCTGTAATTAGCAAATGTGCGGACACACAGCTTCCTGCAACTTTTCAGGGGGGCTGTGATTCTCTGCCTGTCTTGGACACCGTGCCAGCAGGCTACATTCCTAATTATATAACAGTATCAGAATATAAAATGCATGTCAGTACGAAGAGAGGAACAACCTCTTTTTTTTTTTTTTTGTATTTTGTAACTAGAAAAGCTCTTTATGATCACTGGACTCGTTTCCATTTGAAGCTAATTAGTAAATTGCATTTTTGGCTCTTTAACTGGCTAGGTTAAATTTAGCTCATCTTTTCCCTTAAACTCAAGCTGTCGGTGGGATTCGCAATTAGAATTTTCACTCTCAACTTTCTTCACCATTCAGGGGCATGCCAGCAACGTGCCGCCCCCACCCCACTTCCAGCCCTTTCTCCCTGCAGCTTCTCCTGACCCAAGGCTTTCCGTGGATGCCCCAAGACAGCTCCTTACCCCTAAGCTTGCAGGTCACCCAGGAGCAAGGCTGACATCCTTGGCTCACCCCCACAAGCAGACAAGGCGTATGCCCATGGCTGCAAATCAGCAGGCGGCCATGCAGCCAGCAGCCCAGGATAAAGAAGGCCCCAAGGGACTTTAAATTAAACTCTGCAATACCCGGCATGGCCAGGACTGCAGCAAGGGCCTGGAGCCCCTGATGTGTTCGGCTGGAGCCCATTCCTTGCTGGACATGGGGAGGTCGGAGGGGCCCCAGAAGGAGGCTGGGTGGCAAGACAAAAGGGTGCCCTCAGGGGAGGATTGGGGGTGAGGCAGCCTTACAGAAATACAGAGCAGTACAGAAATAATTGAATCTTAACAATCGCCATGGTCAGCCAGGCCCTAAAGATGCCTAAGAACACCGCGGTGAAGAGCACGGATGTGTGTTAGTGGGGAGGTCACCGGGCCATGCCCACGTGGCCGTCTCTGGTGACCAGAGAGAGTCATTCTGAGGGTGAGGGAAAGTCCTCCACCCCTAGAACCCCACCCTCTCGCCTCCAAGCCCTCTGCTCTTGGCTTGGAGCTCAGCTTCCCTCCCTCCCTCCCACCCTGGCCACCCCCTTAGCCCTGCAAAGGGCTCTTCCCTGACCCAGGCTCTTCCTGCCCACCCCATCCACCCCGAGCATGGTTCAGAGGCCCAGTACCCCAGCCCTCGGCAGGACGGCCTGAGGGTGGGAGGGGAAAGATGCTCACCCAGTCTTTGTGAGGCAGAAGAAAGACACCTAGCCAGTTCCTCCCGGCGTGAGCACCCGGCCGCCCCTCCTCCAAGGGGGATAGGAGGCAGAGACCAGCCTTAGGAGCAGAGCGCCCGCATCCGACTTCTCTTGTTGTCATTAAGTAGGATGGGCTGGTGATTTCCAAGAAGAGAGACATCCATTATGCAGGCACTAAAGGGGCTCTGGGCCTCTGGTGCGGCTGGGAGCAGGGCGGGTCTGCGGGGGGGGGGGGGCACGCCCACCTGGCCTGGCGGGATCCTCTTCCCACCCCCGCCTCTGTGCTCTGCCACAAGGCCCTGTGTATCTGGGTGGTGGCAAGTAGGGCAGAGGAAGCCAGCCCGGGGGACTGGCGGCAGTTAGTGAAATGAGCTCAGTGATCCTGGGAGTCTGTGGAGCACAGATGGGACCTGGGAGCAAGCGCCGCATCTTTGCAGTCAGAGCTACTTGGAATTTTTGGTGCATTTTCTGTGAAAACACTGGAAAACATTTTCTCTCTCTCTCAGATGTGGGACCCTGGGCAAGTGTCCACTCCATTCTGAGCCTGACACAGGAGGGAGGGAGGTGGATTCTGAAACCTCCCAGTGTCTTCCTAGCCCCGGCCTCCTGTGTCCCCGGCTGAATCTGAGGCTCCCAAACACCCAACCACGGAGTGAGAAAATGTGCAGTGGGTTTTCATGATGCACAAAATGAACTTGATTTCAGGCCTTTGCCTTGTTCTAAGATTGTCCATCTGACATTTTTGTGATTTTTTTTTAATGAAATGATGGCTTGAGTAGATGGTCATTATTTAATGAAATAAAAAGTTTGCAGGCTTATGTTGCTGCCTTGGGGGCCAGGGTCAGGGACATGCAAGCAAAAGCCTGTGAATCACATGTAGCAGCAAGGCCTGGACCCTGGAGGGCTCTTACTTTGGACTTTGGTCATTTCAGGCCCCAGGGTGGGGGCGGGGGCAGACGGGGAGGTGGGGGGAGGGGACACAGATGTTCACCCATCTGTGAGAGCGTCATTATAACCACCCTTCTCCCAGTATGTTCAGGAAAACTGGGGCGGGGAGGGGGGACCCCTTGTATTTTGTTTAATGAGCTCTTCTAGTAAGAGCACCTGCCTCTTGCCTGCCAGGCATTTGAGCACCGTGGGTCAAACTGTGGGTCATGACCCACTCTTGGGTCATGAAATCAATTTAGCAGGGGACTGAGACCAACGTTCTTTAAATGAAATACTGTGGAACAGAGCAGAAAATATCAAAGTATATCACATGTAAACATGGAGTAGGGTAAGTATTGATTCATAAACCTTTTTTTAAAAATATATATTCAAATTGACATGTATTTAAATATATATTCAAATATGTATTAACAAATACTCAAATAGATACATACATTCATACACACACATACACACATATATATTCTGCTACTGTATGGAGGAGTAAATTCCTCATAAACCAACCTTCCCGCAGACATCTACCAATTAACAAACTATGGACAAAATGGCAAAAACAACATCATGAGGGTTCTGAGAGTAAACATAAGCAGGCAGGTTTTGGAGTAGCATTAAAACCTAGAAGAGGGGGAGCCTGGGTGGCTCAGTTGGTTAAGCGACTGCCTTCAGCTCAGGTCATGATCCTGGAGTCCCTGGATTGAGTCCCACATCAGGCTCCCTGCTCGGCAGAGAGTCTGCTTCTCCCTCTGACCCTCCCCTCTCTCATATGCTCTCTCTCTCTCTCTCATTCTCTCTGTCTCAAATAAATAAAAAAAAAAATCTTAATTAAAAAAAAAAAAACCTAGAAGGGGGTGCCTGGGTGGCTCAGTTAGTTAATCATCTGCCTTTGGCTCAAGTCATGATCTCAGGGTCCTGGGATCAAGCCCTGAGTCAGGCGCCCTGCTCAGTGGGAAGTCTGCTTCTCCCTCTGCCCCTCACCCCACTCATGCTCTCTCTTGCGTGCCTCTCTCTCTAATAAATAAATAAAATCTTAAAAAAAAAAAACCCTAGAAGAATCAACCCACATGGGGCAATTTCCCATTTTTGTGGCTTTGCCCTGAAGGCAGGTACATTTGTGGTGGGAGGACAAGGTGGCTAAATTCCAGTAGGAAGCCTATTGTACCCCTGGACTGAGGAACCAGAAGGAGGAGGCTTGGACAACCAGAATGGCTGGAGAGTGGGGAGGAACCCCATAAAAGAGAGAGCCAGAGAAGGAATATATAAAATACATAAAAATACTGCCCAAATTTCTGGCTGACCCCCAAATCACACATGTGTGTGGCTTGTTAAAAGCAGCTTGAACCAAGATCTGGATCCCCACCCACCACAAGTGTTTGAGACTAACCAAGTTAGTTCCAAATATCAACCCTCTTCAAAACAATATCACAGAATCCAGAGTTTCTACAACAGAACACCCACAACGTCCAGAATACAATCCAAAATTACTCTACATATGCAGAGCCAGGAAAATGCAACTTATTCTCAAGAAAAATGTCAATCAACAGAAACCAACCTTAAGATGACCCCGATATTGGAATCATTAGATAAGATCTTTAAAGCAGCTATTATAACAATATTCAATGGCATAAAGTATGTTCTAATAAAGAAAAGATAGAATATCTCAATCAAGAGATATAAAATATAAAAATGAACCAACTGACAGCATTATTCATAACAGCTAAAAAGTAGGAAAAAAATCCATGTCCATCAACTGATGAATGGGTTAAGGAAATACAGTATATTCATGTGATGGAATATTATTCAGCCATTAAAAAGAATGAAGTAGTGGTACTGGCTACCACATGAATAAACCTTGAAAACATTCTTAAGTGAAGGAAGCCAGACATAAAGACCACATATCTTGGGGCACCCGGGTGGCTCAGTCAGTTAAGCATCTGCCTTCGGCTCAGGTCATGATCCCAGGGCCCTGGGATTGAACCTCGCATCAGGCTCCCTGCTTGGCAGGAGGATTGCTTCTCCCTCTCCCACTCCCCCTGCTTGTGTTCCCTCTCTCGCTGTCTCTCTCTGTCAAAGAAATGAACAAAATCTTTAAAAAAAAGATGACATATTTTATGATTCCATTTATAGGAAATTTCTATAATAGGAAGATCTATAAAGACAAAAAGTAGATTAGTGGCTGCCAGGAGCTGGAGAGAAGGGGGAATGGGGAGTGATTGCCAATGAATACTGGGTGTCTTTTATGAGTAATGAAATGTTTTGGAATTTTGTAGTGGTGATGATTGTACAATTTTGGGCACACACTAAAAAACCTCTGAATTATACATTTAAAATTAATCAAATGAAAATTTCCGAACTGAAAACCACAGTATTTGAAATGAAAAAAGTTCACTGGACTCAGAATGACAAGGGAAAAATAATCCACAAACTTGAAAAGGGGTGAATAGAAATTTTCCAATCTGAAAGAGAGAGAGAGAGAAGATAAAGACAATAAAATTAACAGAGCCTCAAGGAGAGGAAAACAATATCAAAGGTTTAAAAGTTCCAGAGGACGGGAAGAGAACAGGGCAGGAAACATTATCTGAAGAAATAAGAGCTGAAAACTTCCCACACTTGAAGAAAAACACAATTTATAATTTCAAGAGGCTCAGCACATCTGAAGAGGATAAAGAAAGCTATGTCTGGGGCACATCGTAAAACACTGCTGGAAACTGGATAATGGCAATAGCTGGAAAGCAGACAGAGAAAAACCATGCATCACATACAAGGGAATCAATCTTTGAGTGACTGCAGACATCTTATCAAAAACCATGGAGGCCAGAGGACAGTGGAACAACAGCTTTAAAGTGTTGAAAGAAAAAATACTGTCAACCCAGAAGTCTATATCCAGCAAAAGTATTCTTCAAGAATAAAGATGAAATAAAGACATTTTAAACTAAAGGAAACTTGGGTCACTCGTCCCCACCAGACCTGCGCTATAAGATATGCTAAAGGAAGTTCTCCAGTCTGAAGGCAAAGGAAGCGGGAGAAAATCTCAGATCTTCATGAATGAATGAATGGCATCAGAAATAATAAATACAAAAGATCATTTTCCTCTTAACTTAAAAAATTACCCATTTCTGGGGGTGCCTGCGTGGCCCAGTAGGTTAAGTGTCCGATTTTATTTTGGCTAAGCTCATAATCTCAGGGTCATGACTCTCTCTCTCAAATAAATAAATAAAATCTTAAAAAGGGGGGGGTGCCTGGGTGGCTCAGTTGGTTGAGCGACTGCCTTCGGCTCGGGTCATGGTCCTGGAGTCCCGGGATTGAGTCCCGCATCGGGCTCCCTCCTTGGCGGGGAGTCTGCTTCTCCCTCTGACCCTCTTCCCTCTCGTGCTCTCTATCTCTCATTCTCTCTCTGTCAAATAAATAAATAAAATCTTAAAAAAAAAAACAAAACCTCAGGGTCATGAGATCAAGTCCTGCATCTGGCTCCATGCTCAGTGTGGAGTCTGCTTGAGATTCTCTTTCTCTCCCCCTCTGCCCCTCCCCCTGCTCTCTAAATAAATAAAAATCTACAAAAAAAATTACCCATTTCTGTCTGAAGCAAAAATTTTAACACCGTCTTGTGGAATCCATAGTAGATATAATACCTATTGCAACTGTACTGTAAGGATGATGGGAATGAGGATAAATGCACCAAATGGGTGCAAAGTTCCTACATTTTATGTGAAGTCATCCAATTTTAACCTTAAGTATGAGTGAAAATTTAAGATGTATATTATAATCCCTGGAACAATTACTAAAAAGGCAGTGCAAAGAGGTATAGCTAAAAAGTCGATGGGTAGATTAAAATGGACTTCCCCCAAATATTCACATAATTCCCAAAAAGGACAGGAAAGGGGTGTCTAGGTGGCTCAGTCAGTTAAGCATCGGACTCTTGATTTCAGCTCAGGTCATGATCTCAGGTTCCTGGGATAGAGACCCACATCTGGCTCTGCTCTCAGTGGGGAGTCTGCTTCAGGATTTTCTCTCTCTCCCTCTGCCTCTGTTCTCCATTCACTCGAGCTCTCTCTCTCTCTCTCAAATAAATAAATAAATCTTTTTTTTTTTTAAGGGCAGGAAAGGTGAACAGAGAAATTAAAAACAGGTGATAAAGGGGAAATAAAAAATAAAATGATAGGGGCGCCTGGGTGGCTCAGTCGTTAAGCGACTGCCTTTGGCTCGGGTCACGATCCCAGGGTCCTGGGATCGAGCCCCGCATCGGGCTTCCTGCTCCGCAGGGAAGCCGGCTTCTCCCTCTCCCACTCCCCCTGCTTGTGTTCCCTCTCTCGCTGTGTCTCTCTCTGTCAGATAAATAAATAAAATCTTTAAAAAAATGATAGACTCATATCCATCCAAGCAAATAATTATGTTAAATGGTAATGGGCAGCCACTCTAATCAGAAGGCGGAGGTTACTAGAATGGGA